AGAGGAACACCTGCTGGGGGCAGCGTGGAGGGCCGGAACGTGACTGGCTCCTGCAAAGTCCGAGGCGCAGTTGGAGCGAGAGCCCAGGAGCTCCCGGCAGGGGTCCACCCTTTATTCTGTGTGGGGTACAAGTGTCCATGCTGCGCCGTGCCAGGCCACGAGCTTTCTGTGGAGAGGCCGGCGGAGGTGCCGCCGGGTGGCGAGTCCATGGCGCACTCGACTGGCCAGCGGCCACGCTCAGTCTTCGCCAGTGGCTACCTCGTCTCTAGATGGCCTCTCTACAGTGACAGTGACAGCTTCCCTGTCGGAGACTAGGGCAAACACGGAAAGGTGCTCTGAAACCACGGCGCTCAGAGATACACCCCCAGTTCACGTGACGCCACGCCAGTCAGGAAACAGCATGCGAAAACCGGAACTGAGCCCACGTCTGGGGGACCCACACACCATGTTCTGGGCTCAGGCGCCAAGTGGCGGGACAGAGAGGTCCTGACCCCTTCACAGCGGCGCGCCCACGAGCTATGGGGCGCGAGCTCTCGTGCCGGCCTCTGCCGGCCCACAGCTGTGTGTAAGCCTGCTCTGAATGCGCCACACGTTCTAGGAGTCAGTGTCCTGTCCCCCACTGGCTGAGAGACCCTTCCTTCCCGCCAGCAGCTCAGGACGTTTGGGGCAGCTCACAAGGGGCCGCTACTGACGAAACACAGTGAATCCTAAGGGGTGACTTCGCAGGTACTCGAAGTCGGTGCTTGTCACACGCCCAACACTCAGGTTTGTCCTTGAAACTGGCTTCATGGCATAGCGGGTAAGGCGCTGGCTCCTACGTCGCTCACCTCGGCTTGAATCCCGGACCCGGTGCTTAAACTCACGCCGGGTGTGTGTGCGTGCGTGCCCAAGATCCCGACAGGAGAATGGAGTGAGAAATGGAGTGAGAAATCACCCGCTTTCTCGCTTTCTGTCTCTCTGTCTCTCTCTGTCAGTCTGGCGAGCGCACGCGCCCTATAGCGAAAACGTCTCCAAAAAAGCAAAGAGAAGAGAAGGAAAGTAGAGAGGTACGTGGTGAGCGACACATGCTGGCAGCACAGTGACGTTCGCAAGAGCCAGAGACCTCGAGCAGCCACCCTGCGGCCAGGACAGACCCGCCTCCTCTGACGGACGACAGGAGGAGGACGCGGACACGTCAGCAAGGAGCTCTGTCGGCCACACATGTAGCAGAATCCTTAATTCAGGGCTCTGTGTGCACTAAGAGACGCACGAGCTTTCCCCAGTTAAAAGGCTCCCCCTCGGGCCAGCAGGTGGTGTGGTCAAGGTGCTGGATCCCGCATGGCCTGCAGCACCGTTTAAGGCCCAGACCCGGCAGCTTGAAAATCACACCAGGTGCTTGAAAAATCAGGCCAGGCACGTGTGTGTACATGTCCCAAACCCCGAGACCGGAGAAGGGACTGAGGCGTGGCCATCCGGCGAGCACAGGCCCGATAGCAAAAGCTAAACAGGGAAAGAAGACTCGCTGTCCCTGGACCTGGCTCGCATTTCATCGTCAGTCAGTGGGCACGTGGGGACGTCGGGGAGAAACGCATTCCCATGAAACACTCCAGCAGACAGGCTGCATTTAGGAAACAGGTGTGAAGACGAGGACACTTGGAAAGGCATGCTTGCTGCACACAGGCCTGCACCGTGCGGGCGGACACCGGGCTCTGTCACCTGGTGGCCATGCGGGCCCCGGCGCCTGGGCTGTGCCGATAACGGTTTGCGAGTTCCGTAGTCCACAGCTACCCCGCCCCACGGAGCCACACAGCGGATCTGCAAGGGGCCCT